GGTATAAAAGTAAATCTGAGTCAGAAAAATCCCTAGAACAAAGAATAAAAATAATCACTGCAAACAAAGCCATTGGATTTTTAATTACTCTAAATTGTATGTATGGTGTGCAGTGTCCTTGCACATGCCTTGAACTTTGTGTGCAGTAAAGGACTTAAACCTCCTGTCTCTTTTTACCAACTATCTACTCCCTACTGAACATCTTATATGATATTAGTTCTTACTCTTTCATATATTTAATATCATATTAAGACAAAAATAACAGGAAAGAAAGCATAAACAGATAGCCAATATCCAAAACTGATTTGACTTTGAATATAGAATCAGTGATGTCATAATTTTTCACAATGACTTCTTATTTATATACACTCTTGAATGTTACACAACTAAAAGAAGGAGAGCTAGAAGTTTAGTCAATCAACTTGTGTCATAAAGAGAGATTGGTAGGCGATGAGGACACATTTTACTCTCAAGAACTTTAAAAGCACAACATCCAAACTTGACCCATGTCCTTTCTTCAACACAAGCACAGAGCAAATTCCTCATCACAAAGAGACTTGTGTTTGTTTTGGTTCAAGTATGTTTCATAAGCTGCAAGAACAGTGCTGACAAATAGGTGTTCACTCAGTGTGGAATGGATTGGGCATGAATACCAAAGAGGAAATCAGAAAAGACTTTTTTTTGGCCGGTTGTGGGGCTTGAACTCTGGGCCTGGGCGCTGTCCCTCAGCTCTTCAGCTCAAGGTGAGCAAGCGTTCTACCACTTGAGCCACAGCACCACTTGCAGCTTTTTCTGCTTATGTGGTGCTAAGGAATCAAACTCAGGGCCTCATGCATACAAGGCAAGCACTCTACCACTAAGCCACCTTCCCAGCCAGAAGAGACTTTTATCATGACAAGATACAAGAGCAGTCCCTTTGAATTACGATCTTTGAAAGACATTGTACTGTTTCTACCTAACCACAAAAGACGTGGAATACACATGTTCTCATTACCTTACTTATGTAACTGTAACCGCCTCCCCACCCCCGTTTATCACCTTTACAATAAAGATAAAATAATTAGAAAAGGAATGGAATACATAAAAATGGATACATAAAATGCAGTCTCTAATATTACAAATGAACATTCTAAAATAATTTCGCCATCTCTGACAACTGTCTTGTTTGCACGATTTTCTTATTCTTCTCACAGCATGAAGGCTAGAAATAACTGAGAGGCTAAGAAATTTGGAATCTGTCTCTCAGGGTATATTGATTTCTTAACTGTAATAGGTATTTTGGGGGGGTATATTATGTTTCAGCTTAGGTGGATTATTTAAGGTTGTGGATCAGAGAAACTGGAGATGATTTAATGATCTCTCACCAGGGAGAGACATTGTAAGCCTGACTGAATTTAAAGTGAAAATTTTAGAGTGGGTAGAAACTTTGCCTAGGTAACTGCTGTGCATCAGTCAGATAATGTTCACCCACACAAGGAAGCAGAAAACAGCACAGGAAGGAAGGCGACTTGGAGTCAGGAAGCCAGCAGCCTACCAGTCTTGTCTAGGCAGGTTTTGCATGTTTATCTTTCACTTGCCCATCCCTAAAAAAAACATGTATCTATACATGTTCATGAAAAGTCATATTCATATTAAAAGGCATTCTGAATAACTAGCAGAAGAAATTATACCCAAATGCTTTTCCCCACTAAGAACAGCTTCCATTTACATGAAAATATGGATTTTTAGATACTTCATCCTCTGTAGTAATGAATTCATATATAATGGATGTGCTCAAATATAATCTGGATTTTCATTTTCCATTTAATAATGATCTCCAATCTCTGAAATATGTATATACATTTATTACATTTGTATATTGGGCAGCCATGACACTAACAACTTTGACTTATTCAAACATTTGTAGTGGGGATGATGAATAGAAAACAGAATGGAGACAAATATCATAATATCCTATGTATATATGATTTGTGCTATAAAATCTTGCTTTCATTTAATTCAATGTAAGAGTTCAATTTCCTTACAACCTGTTGTGAGAAATTAATAAACAGTTATATTTTATCTCATGAGTCAAATACTGATCTATACGTTTAGGTCTTTCTGTAATATCAGTTAGACTCAATATTTCATTTGTTTTTAATTTCTACATAATTATTATAAACATAAATGCTCTGAACATCATTTAACCTCATTTCCTTACTTAAATGAAAATTTTTCTGTTGTTTTTGGCCATGATAAGTTTTGTCTCTGAGTCAATAATTTGCAAAAATTGAAACATGTACATGAAAGATCTCTCTGAGTTGAAATCTTGAGAAATAGTTAATATGTAAACACTTTTATCCACTCATGACTTGTTGTAGAACAAAAATTCATTTAACATACAAATAAGTTTTTGGGTTTTTTTGTTGTTTTTTATTTAGTGAGAGGCTCAGGGTTGATATCATAGCCTATCATTCTTACTTGGCGTTTTGTTTTTCAAATCCTGTTAAGCTATTAGAACAAAGAGGCAGAGGATGGATAATGTAGATCCAACCCAAATTCAAAAGTATACAAATGCAGGTCACTACACCTGACCCATGGCACATTCTCAAATGCTCTTCGGGTGACTGTGCCTATGGAAGAGAGTTTCTAAACAAAGTCATAATTGACTAAAATAAAGCATTTTGTGCCTTTGAGATAGCTGTTCTTGGGAAAAATAGAAAGTGATGCTATTTTGTACTAACAAATGGAAACTTACCAAATTGTTATTGTTTAAAAATGGATTTTTTTGTTATTTTGATATGGAAGTCATAATTTTTGAAAAGTCAACATCAGAAAATTACCTAGACTTTCATCACCTAATAAGACCTGTCATCTTCTAATTAGTTCATTGTACATTTGGAGTAGCTCTTTTTTTTTGCTCAGGGCTGATGTTCTACCATTTGTTCTATGACTCTAAGTCCAGCTTTTTTTTGGAAATGGAGTTTCTTGGATTTGTCTGCCCTAGCTGGCAAAAGCCCTACTGGTATTGTATGGCCATCCTAAGGTCTCAGCTTCCTGAGTAACTAGGATAACAGGTCTGATACATCAGTACTAGGCATAACTCATCAGTTTAAAGCATTAAATTTAGTGGCATTTATGCATTCACAATGTTGTGAAACAATCATTTCTGGATTTTCAAGTTTTTTTTTTCAATCAGCCCACAGGAAAAAAAATGTACAATATTAGAAATCACCCTGTTTCCTTTTCTCCTACCTATATACTGATAACCAATAATTGGCTTTCTGTCTTTATAGATTTGCCTCTTTTGGATAATTCATATACAAGGAAACATACAGTCTGTGACCTTTAATTCTGGCTTTTAAATTTTAACATAAAGTTTTCAATGTTCATCAGTTATGTGGCATATATCTGCACTTGATCCTTTTGTATACAAATAGTATTCCATTATTAATACATGCCACATTTTATAATCATCTATTTTCAATATTTTTTAATAAATAATGTGGTTAGTACTCAAGGCTTCACACTTCCTAGTTTGGTGCTCTACCATTTGAGCCATACTTACATCCTTGATTTTTACTGGTTATTTTCAAGGTAAGGTGAATCATTGTATACTGGGCAATGAAAAGAAATCTTCATAAATATTTGGAAACTGGAAAAGTTAACAATACCCATTTGGATCCTCTTAATTGTACTAGAGAGGCAGAATTCCATCTTACTTACATCCAACTGATTTCAAGCATTTCCTTAAATAATTGTCCATTAGATATTCCTTTCCATCTGTCTCTGTAATCTCCTTTTCCAATTTTATATGTTTTTCTACAATGACTTTATCTCGTATTGCCATTATTCTCTCTACTTATTCTGCTGTCATCCATCTAATTCAGTAATTTGAATGAAAGTTACAATATTTTATCTAAATTTAATCTCTAGGGACTGGTGAAGTACCTTACAAAATAAATTCTCAGTATAACTTTCTTGACCGTATGAACAGATTAAAAACACAAAGACAATCTGTGTAGCTGTAAAATAATAAAAATATTCACCTTAATTTCAAGCATTTTAGAAAAAGTAACCCTGCCTTTGTCTTTTTTAAATTTGTTTTGGAAGGGTTTGCTTATTGCTTTTTTTGCCTGTACTGGGGCTTAAAGTGAAAATTTTGTGCTCTTGCTTGGCTTTTCTATTCAAGGCTGGTGTTCTTGAGCCACATCTCCTTTTTTGGCTTTTTGCTGATTAGTTAAACACAAGAGCCCATGGCTGCCAAGGCTGGTTTTGAACTATGAGCCTCAAATCTCGGTATCCTGTGCAGCTAGGATTACAAGCATGACTCACCAGTGCCCAGCTCCCGCATGGTTGTAATCAAGAAAGTAGACTTTAATATTTCATACACTAACAAAATAACTTCTCTTATTCAGGCTGTCTTTATTAGAATTCAAACATCCTTTATTTCAAATCAAAACAAAATCAAATTAAAACCAGAAAGTCTAGAAGGATGATATTCTATACACTTAATTTTGAAAATAGGAGGATTTTCAAAATCCTTCTATCTAGTTTTGATCAAGAAAATCAGACATGCTCATGGACATGAATATGTTCTTCACCTCTCTCTTTTTTTCCTACGTTAAAGGACTAACATTATATTTGTCATTTAATAGCGAAAGGAAAATCTTATGTTTATAAGAAGACTAGAAATATGTTATATTCTGAAATAAAATTTTTATGAAAAGTCTTCTTGAACTATCAAGGACAGAAATGCTCACAAGACATATGGTTAAACTGCAAAGAGACAGAATGGGTTTCCAGGATATTTGCCTAGAATTTAAACTCCTTATGAGAAGTGTGGTACTCTTCTGTATTTTACCTTCCTGAGCCTCAGTCTCCTCATGCTTGCAGTGAAATCATTACTGCCTCGCCCATAGCTCACAACAAACAGATGTGAGAATGACGACAGGGAAATTTTGGAAAGTTCACTTTGAAACATGATGTGCTACACCAAGACAGGCGCAGCATTCACTCACCAAACACAGTTCTTGCAGGCACAGATTCTCTGTTAAGCCAGAATGACACTTGGGAGAGAATGACAGTCATGATGCAAGGCAGATAGGTCTGAATCACAAAATACCCAATTTTTCTTTTCAAGTGGAAATGAGCTGTCATTACAGTATATTCACCTGGAAGAAAAATTTAAGACGCTTAAAGAACTCTAGTCGTCAATAGTTTGAACATTTTAGAAATGGAAGGAATTAGAGAAAAGTATAGTCGCTGATCAATAAAATGATCACATATATATCCGGAAACCATACCAACTTGAGATATTTCATTATCCCAGCAAAAGTACTAAAATGTAAAAATCTATAGTACCAAGAGACTTGTAGAATACCAGGCTCCATGACATGGTATTAGCTGTGCTCTCTGTCATGTCTACTTCTCAGGACTCAGGCATGCTGAAGGTTCTCTGATAGTGTGTTATCCTGACTGCTCAGGTGCCCTATTCCCAGGGGTGGTAAGATTGATCTAATTCAGTCCACCCAGACTGCTTGAATGTTGATCTCTGGCCTCATCTCCAAATCTAGTCTTCTGGCCAAGATGTTCTACTTCTAACCACATCACCAATTCTCTCTGTTCTGCGTCTCTTTTAATTTGCTTCAGTCTATTCCATTTGATCGTCCCTCTACCTTCTTTTCTCTCTCACCCTCTCAGTTTTGTCACTGCATGTTGGATAATGGGTCCATATGACTTCATTTTTCTTAGATAAGGGTGGCCCTAAGGAATGGTTTTAGAAACACCTTTGTACACAAGCCAATAGTAATTATCAATAAATCAAGAGTTAAAATCTCAAATTATGCAGAATGGGGTTAAAAGAATTAGAAAGTTATGGAAATAGTGGTAAGAAGTTTGAATATAAATGTTCAAATGGACTGGGCTGAGAAGACAAACATTTTCTGAATATGTGGTATATTTTAGGCCAATTCTGAAACTTTAATATCCACACGAACCTCTTCAGGTTCTTATTAAAATGCAAACCCTGATTTAGGAAGGGTGCAGACTAAGATGTTCAATGTCTTAAAAGCTCCCAAGCAGTGAATAGTGCTAGTGTGTGGACATTCAGAGCCAACGTTTTAAAGCAATCTGACCTATTTTTCAGTGATTTTAACCTATTGATTTTCTTGGGACTAGATTTCTTTATATCCATTTTACTAACCTGTACTGGATTTAATTGTTTCCTTTCCAATTGATTGGCCAAGCAGGTCATACTGATTTAACCTAGAGCCATCAGGAGCAACCTGTACTGAATCAGATGCATTGTAAGTCCAAATGTAAGTGACTTCTGAGGTTGTATAAGCATCTGTTGAAAATCAGAAAAAAATGCCTTAAGTACTTTAATATGAACCACCAATAGACTGAATACAACAGCAAAGTCTACATATTTCAGAGAATTGCAACGTAATAAGAATGCTTAAAGTTCACATTTTATGGTAAAATGTATCCTTGGAATTTAAAACTTTAATATGAAGTATATGGAGCAATAGACAATTATGAGTATCAGAAATTTTTCATTATAACTTCTTTTTAAAAATTTATTTCAAAGGTGATGGACAGAGCTGGGAGTTACAGTTATGTAAGTAAGGTAATGAGTACATTGCTTTTTAAACACTGTTACCCCATCCCTCATTTTCTCCTGTTTACCACTTCCCATTCCCTTCCATCCCGATTTGTAAAGTTCATTTCCAACACAAGATCTAGTGAGTATATGGTTGCATTAGTTCATCCTATGTCCTGCTGTTTCTGTGATTCCTTTTCTTTTGATAAATAAAGAGCAAATTTATATTTAGAGCCTGAAAAAAAATCTCTGTGCTCTAAGATGGTTTTCTTTATCAAGACAGAAGGTCAAGATGAGAAACAAGTAATAAAATCAAGGGCAACAGTTGATTTGGGCATTGTGGCCACTCATAAATTGAGAATAATAATCCACTTAATCCAAAGTGATATTGTTTTCTGCATATAAAAGAAACTTAGTTAACAGGTAAACTCAGTTTTTATGGAACAATGCAGTTCCCTAATTTCAGAGCATTTAAAACAAATCAGAACATTAAATACTTGTACTAAGTTGTAAATATGTCGGTAAATAGATTAATTTTAAGTTAGTCAATGAATATAAGGTATGCATTACCAAAGGGACCAAGGTTTGACAGTTAAGGTATGCATTTCCAAAGATACAAAACACACATAGACTACAGATAACACCTTGGTTTATTTGGCCAAATACGCATAGTTAGTAGAAATGAGATGTCTCCTGAGCTGAATTCAGGCAACCTATCTGCTCTTCACCATCCTCTGCACTGACATTTCTTTCCCCTGGTGTGACCTGATTGGGAACAGATAAACTCTTTATGCAAGCAGTCTCTCTCTACAACTGAAAAAATAATTCCTGCTACAGTGAAGACCTTTTGAAGAACTTTCATTTGCTTCTACTCATGTGAATACTTAGAAATATCTGTCATACCTGGTCTTTGAACAGAAGTCAGTATCACGGTCACATTGTCAATTGGAGGAGAATGAAGACCAGTTTTCTCTTGACTTATCTTTGTCTGCAACTCAGCAGGACGCTGAACATTTCATTTCTAGACCACGTATATATTTTCTCACCTATTACCACTTTGCTAGGGTGGTCTGGGTACTGAATGTAAATTGAAGATCTAAGATCACAAGTCAGTTTCTATTCAAGCATCAATAATAGAATGAAGCCTCATGAGTGTTTTATTTGCTACATGATACATGTCAGTATTGTTTGGCTTTCCAACTGTTGTTACTAACATTAATATCAGTGAAATATTGTTTGTACTATACCTGCCTTCATCTCTAACCACAAGTTAATTATTTTATGAAACAATTTTGAAATAGGATTCTAAAAATGTGTGTATGTACATACATATTTACATGTATGTAGTTTATTAGTAAAACATTTATATATTTACATATTAATAAATTCTAGTTGTTCCAATGTCTAAATTGCTTAGTAATTAATTTGAATTAATGACTAATGATTCTACAGAGATGACTGAATTAATAACTTAGTAATGCAGTTATCAAGAAAATCATTTGCAGATCAAGTGGCTTGTTTTGTTTCCCCCATGAATACATATCTTGGCTCTCTCTTTTCCATAAAATCGCAAATGCCATACAACTGAGCACATCAAAAAGCTACACTGCAAGTGTCACTTTGTATCAGAAGGTCTTCATGATATCCCTCACTTGTGAATCTCAATAAATTATAAGAGTTTTAAAGTAATTGCGATTATGCCACTTTTGATTTTTCATGTTACTTTTAAACATAAATGAAATGAAAGCTTAGAAAACGGATGGCATTCTTTGGAAATGAGAAAGATATGAGTAAGACAGGCAAAGTCTATCTTGTTCATGTCTATCACAAATTCTCAGCTTGTTCTGATTAGATCAGTGATGAACTCCATATTGTAATTGCGATTCATTGACATGAAAAATGGAAATTGGAAGAACTCAAGAATACATTATAGGAAATGAATGACACCATTCGACTGCCTATTAAATGAGCAGAACCAGATGCCAGTGACTTATACCTATACCCCTCATTACATGGGAGACTAACATTGGGAGGCTTATAGTTCAAGGCCAGCCCTTTCAGAAAAGTTTATCAAACTCCAACAACAGAGAAAAACTAAAGGCAATGGCATATGTCTGCCATCCCAGAGAAAAGAAACGCATAGTGTGTGGCCCATAGCCTAGGTGTGTCCTCAAGAGAACCACCATTCAGTCATCAATGGGAAGCAAAACCCCAACTCAAAAATAACTAAAGGAAAACCAGGGCAAGAGGCATGGGGCAAGTGGTAGAACACAAGGTCCTCAGTTCAAACACCAGTATCACCAATAACTAAAATCAAATAAAAATATAACAGCAGTTACTGCATTTTACTAGTTAGGGATCCATTGCATTTCAGTTTTTAGATTGGGTCTAGTGAGAGAACACAAAGCACAAGGTCATGAAATGTGGACCTGAGGCACTCCCTGATACATGAACACAAGGACGAACCCCAAGGCAATTGAGTGTGAAGAGAAAAATGCTTGCCCAAAATGTACACTGTACATTCCACCATAATTCAGCTGATTTAAATAATTTTAATTCTATTCAATAATTAATACTACTACAGTCTACGATATTCACTCCTCATATTTAGGAGCCAAAAAAATCTAACTTATTTTTTAACTGTTCATTTTTATCCTAAAAGAGTTAAAGAGATGGACACATCCCACATTTCTTTATGGGTAGTATAAAGAATAAACCATAGACTTCCATTAAGGAAGAAATGAAATCAAGGGAATGAGGAAAACCAACAAGAAGTGAGCATGTAGAAAAGATGCTTCTCTTACACAGAACTATACAAGCTTTCAGAACCGCATCACTTTTGAGGATTTGTATTAAGAGACGAGTGAATGACTAGAAGAGAACCCATGCTTGCTTCTGGCAAGCTTCGCTCTGTTGTCGTGCTATGCCCTGGCTTGTTTCCCGGTCTGTCACTTCAATTGCTGCCCAGTCCTTTAGCATTTATGCATCAAACACTTGCTATCGACAAGGATAAATAGACAAATATGTGGCTGGTAGGTACAAACTCAAATGTGCAAAAGTGTAATATGTAAATACTACTTAAGCAAAGAATCTTAACAAAACCTTTGGGTTAACCTGATGATTATGGAATCAGAAAACTAGACTCTCAAGCATGTAGTATTCCATTGCTTTCTATCTGCACTTTATGGGGTTTGTCAATGGCAGGTAAAGTATTTTCAAGTAAATTAATTTCACTTTCTTTCTTTCTTTTTCTTTTGGTCAGTTATGGGTCTTGAGCTCAGGGCCAGGGTGCTATCCCTGAGCTCTTCCTCGTATCTAGTACTCTACCACTTTGAGCCACAGCACCACTTCCAGTTTTCTGGTGGTTAATTGATCAGAATCTCACCAGGACTTTTCTGCCCAGGCTGGTCAAACTGGGATCCTCATCTCTCAGCCTCCTGAATCACCAGGATTGTAAATATGAGCCACCAGTGCCTGACTCACTTTCAATACTGAGACCTCACACCATTTATACATGTTATCATAATAACAACAACAATTAGCAGCAGCAGCAGCATCTACTAAAAAATCTTTCCATTCTATATCCTAATAAATCTTGGATGAACAATTTCTGTGGTACCAAGGCTTGTCATGTTTCTGTCTAATGCCACTTACGATGCAATGCTGAGGAGTTTGCCCTTGCTGCATGTGCTGTGGTTTTTCTGTGTTGTGTTTGTGCTGTGGAACATGACGGACTGTCTTAAATGGTGTGGGGAAGAATGACAATATTGAAGGGATGCTTTCTGTGACAATAAAGAGAAGGTCTGTGCTTAAGCAAATAAGAGGCTCTTAAAGGAAACAGAGTTGACATCATTTGTGCAGATATACAGAGCAAACAGGATTGAATTTCTCACTCTCCAAATGATGATCATCAAAATTATTAGAGCATCTTGCCTTCCCATTAGCCATCATTCTTTCCCTTCTCTTGACACATGCTTCAGTCACACAGATTCTTAATCAAGAGAGGGCTCTGCACTTCTATTCACTAGAGAAAAATAAAAAGGCAAAAGCCGCATAAAGTGGATAAAGATGGGGTGTCAGATAAAGCACAGTTTCTAAAAAAAGGTTGGAAAAGGGGACATGCTCACACAAGAGAGAAGCTGCTTAGCTGGGTTCATGGATTTAATTCTGAATCTGCCTGGAAGTGTCCTGTGGGCCTCAACAGCTGACGTGACCTTCCCCCTTTCCATTATTCTGGAAGTGCACTTGCTTCTGCTTGACATATAAGACATAACCCAGTGACCTCAAGAACTGCCAAAGGCACAGAGCCCTTTTGAAATGCTCTGTGTAAGCAGGAAGGGCCTGCATGTAACAATCCAATGACATCATCTCCTTTACATTTATTTTAAGGAGGAAAATGTTTGCAACAGACTGATGGAAAGCAATAGAATCTGCCATGTATGATCCATTCTTGGCTAATGAAAAATAAATTTATTATTTTTAAAAATATTCTAGATAAAAGAGAATAATCTATAGTAACTTTCCAAGAGCTCCTGACTTAACGTTAGTCATTTAAAACTATGTTCTTTTTACTCATAGTGTTCTTTACTAACATTAAAAGAGTGATCCTTTGAACAGTCTAATGAAAATATTTGAGACTACCATCGAGCTACCTAACTAGCTTCTTGAGAACAGTCACCATTCCATTTACTACTGTATGCTACTGGACAGGTATTAAGTATTCCACAATGTTAGAAGAATTGCAAATTTGAGTGTGGCCATTGCATTCCTGATGTTATCAATCCCAGACATGCACTTTCCTTCGTTTACTTACAGCTGCCAAATTTCAGAGGACATGAGTGAGCATCCATTGGAAAATCCTCCAAGTGCATTGGGCACTCAGCTTGCACTGTAAGCCTGAAAGTAGAATTCCACTCTTTGTTTAAGTAATTTGGCAAAACAAGAAACATCACACATCAGCTATTGTCTGTTCTGACTTTAGTTCGAGCTGCATATTAGATCAATTCACAGTTAATTACATTTAGGAGATATCTCACAAGACATTTTCTTACATAAAATAAGAATATAAGTAATAGTACTAATCATTAAAATTACACTTTACCCAGTCATTGTATACTCTGTATACAATTTGAGAAGCAAAAAATTTATATGCACTTTTTTTTTTGCCTGTCATGGGCCCTGACTCTGGACCTGGGAGCTGTCTCTCAGCTTTTCACCTCAAGGCCAGCATTCTACCACTTGAGCCACAGCACCACTTCCAGCTTTTTCTGTTTATGTGGTGCTGAGGAATCGAACCCAGGGCCTCAGGCATGCAAGGCAAGCAATCTACCACTGAGCCACCTTCCCAGCCCTGGATGTACATTTTGAAGGGCTGCTGTTCCACAAATCTCACTATTTATTATATGTCTGAATGGGAAAAAATTTAAATATAGTATGCAAAGAACATTATGCTCCATTTGACCTCTTCACCAGTCATAAAGCAAAGTTAATATAACAGTCCAATACTAGTTCATAAAAGCTTGCTTAAAACCTCTCATAATTATGGATAATAATCTTTATATAGATACACATATAAATACAGCAATAAATATAAACATATATATATCTCAAAATATCTTGTTGAGATTGAATTGGTGGCTAAATTATGAGCACAAGTTATAAATATTAAATAAAATTTCTGAATTTCAACATAACAAAAGTAATGAAGATCAATCACAGAAAACCTATTGTATAGACAGCTATTAGTTATCCCATTTTACATAAGAAAAATGAATATAGAACAGGTTCTACACTTTGAAAAATCTGTCATAATTAAATAGAGTAAATGTGGCCAAAATGTGTTGTAACTTAAATATTTCTAGTTGTATTTAAATAATATCTAATGAAATATTTTCTAAAATTATATATGCTCTGTGTCTATATTTTGTTTAAATCTCAAAGTTTCAATCATTTCCTTTATTTATATGGATCAGTGATCAAAGCATAAAGTTGTTAGGAGCACTATGTCAGACTGTCTTCCAGAATTCAGAGAGGCATAGGAATAGTGAATACTTCCATTGGAAGTAATGGTCAGCTATTACTCAGTCAGGAGTCTTGTTTTTGTAAGACTAAGAAATAACAACAGTTTTCATTATTGACCCTTAGTTTTTGTAATAAAAATGTGTATATATAGTGTAAAGGCAAAAATCCATGCATCAAATATTTTAATAAACATTGATTTTTATTGTACATCATTTTATTATATTTATGATTTTCTTCTTTGTAACACAATGCAAGGAACCTCTGTTCATTAGTGAGAATAGTTAAGATTGAAAAGTTATTAATATGAGCAACTGTATGAGCAATTTATAGTTGAACATATAAAATTGATGCTAGATGACAGTTTTGAGCATAAAAATGAATCAGGATTCATTCTCATAAGCATGATTGAGGCATCTAATTTACTTAAAAAATAATTTACTTCAAAAATAAAAACTGTCAATTACCTTTGTGTCTTCAGTAACTTTATATGGGATTAGAATATTAACCTCAGTAAAATTATGCTTCAAAACCATATAATTTTAATTGGCTATCTCTTGATTATAAAAAATATGAATCACTTCTTCAGACATAAACCAAATTCAAGTCGTGGTATTAAGCTATTTTCAATGAGAATATATTATAAAAGTAAATAGCCAGAAATGAATTCCTATTATTAACTATTTGAAAACACTAAGTATTAAACTCACCAGCATTATTTCTATATCCACGCATTGAGAATGTATATTATGAGTATCTTAATAATCTGCTAGAAAAATATGCAACATTGGGCTGGGAAGGTGGCTCAGTGGTAGAGTGCTTGCCTTGCACACATGAGGCCCTGGGTTAGATTCCTCAGCACCACATATGCAGAAAAGGCCGGGAATGGCACTGTGGCTCAAGTGGTAGAGCACTAGCCTTGAGCTGAAGAGCTGAGGGACAGTGTCAGGGCCCTGAGTTCAGGCCCCATAACCGGCAAAAGAAAAGAAAAGAAAAGAAAAAGCATCATTGCTATTATTTGACAATTACACGCGGCTAGCTGTTTAGTGAATGAGTTTCTCAGTGTTATGTGCAGCATACCAAAACTAAAACATACCTCATAGTATACAACAGAGTCCCATCATCTTGGATTCGAAGCAGCTTGTTCGGCATTGTCATATTATGAGCTACTGACTTTTTCCCATTGTGAAAGAAGGTGTCTGGAGTCCAAATTTTGCTAGCCATTAAATTGTTAAGTCGAAGGATATTCATAGGGCCTTTAAATTTTAGTCTTTCATCTTTCCATTTTTGACGAAAGAACACATCAATTGTATATTCCTGAAAAATAACACGATATTTCCTTTGAAAATAATACATGTTTTAGATGTAAGAGGGCACACCAAAATTCCAACAAAAATAATCTTCTAAATACTTCTAAATAGACATCTATGTGGAGAGAAGTACTTGCTGATCAGAAAGGCTATTTGTTTCATTTATCACTCAACGTTGCTTTTTACAATAGCATGAAATCTTTTTATACACTTAACATATTCTTGCAAAAGTAAAAAGTACATTTGTTTTGTTTAGCTTCTTTCAGTTGAGCCAAAGTTCAAGCAAAAAATGAATTAATGCATAATTTAAAAGTTATTCTAAGCCAGGTGCCGGTACCTCACGCCTGTAATCCTAGCTACTTAGGAGGCTGAGATCTGAGGATGATGGTTCAAAGCCAGCCCAGGCAGGAAAGTCTGTGAGACTTTATCTCCAATAAACCAACAGAAAACAGGAAGTAGTGCTGTGGCTCAAATGGTAGAGCGCTCTCCCTCAGCTGAAGAGCTCAGGGACAGCGCCCAGGCGCAGAGTTCAAGTCCCATGAGTCCCATTCTACCAGAGTATGGATGGTTGAAGTAAGGCATCTCCAGAAAAAAAAATACACAGGGAACCTCAGTAGCAAAAATAAATAAATAAAAACAATAAAATGAAAAGAATCAACTTCTAAGAACCATGACAGATATGAGTCATCATTTCCTGTTGCCAAGGAAACTGTAGAATATCATGTTTCTTTTTTGATACTAAAAGAAAATAGTGAATTATATTGTTAACCAAAAATATGTTAGGCAATGATAGTTTCAATACATTTCAGTCATCAAATTGATTTCAATATAATAAATTCAACAAGTTATTAAGGTATTTAAACTAAAAATATTTTTCAAACATGCTTCTCCTTAAAAAAAAAAAACCTAGTTAGTCATTTATATCTATTACTATCTCCCAATCTTTTAGCTGAAACATTGTTCCTCTTCTCTTCTACCACTTCCTCTCTCTCTTTCACTTTTTCTATCAAGTGATGGATGCATCTTAAATGAGATATGAAATTAAGATTTGTGCTTAATTCTGTTATTCTACAAGATGTTAAAAATGTCATTCCATGTTTGCACAAAACATTAGAAACCACTAAGATGTTCCATTACAAAACTCAAATTGGAAATTCCAAGAGGACACTGTGAGCACCAAACCAGTCATTCAATCTTTGAACATCAGCTACTGGCAAAATCATTTTTATAAAAAGGCAGATTAATAGGACCATATTTGGAAAACATGATATTATTTGTAAAAATCTGAACTGAGTTATTCCCAAAAATCAACTGAATGATTTCTAAGAATCTATGATAATTTGAATGAGTATTGATGATAAAAGAAATCAACAAATAACACTATGTAATTAGGAGATGAACATCAGCAATGGAGGAACATTACATAATCTGGTTCATTTTTACACCTTATGACCTGGTTATTCATTTCTCAATATTTAATTCCATCTATAGGGAACTTAAAATAGAAAAATCAGATTAAAAGTTTATTTTTTTCACTGTAGTTAAGTATTTATGCAAATATTTCTTTCCAACAGTGATCTCTCAAGCTCCAACCTAACATGAATCCTCATGACATTTATTACACTAGGAACAATAAAGCTCTTCTAAAATATATTTAATAAAACTTCAAGTCCAAGCTTTTATCTGCTTAGAAAGCGATTGATGTGGCAATCAGATCTTGGAGACTTACCACACAGCAAAGGAGATATTCAAAGTTTACCAGCAGAATTTGGAGACTGCTTCTTAAAACTTGTTTTCAAGAATACTATTTTTCTTTGAACCCACATTGTGTCCCCAATGAATCCTGCCAATATATCCACAAGACGTATATCTTTTATCTCTCATCTCCACCCGTACTCCATGCAATTTTAACAAAATCTATACACTTAGTAATTCCCTAAATGGAGGAATGTTTCCACCAGCCTGACTGAAGAACTCTGCTCACAACTATGTCTGGGTTCCCTATAACCTTAAAACAAAACAAAATACCCTTTTATTCTTTATAAAACTGTATGATGGGCATGATAGTTTCTATCACAATTATATCTTCATTTGTTGCCTCCAAAGTAACTCAACAATTTTCACTAAACTGAACATGGTTTTTATTTGAACTTCATTTGCTTTTCTCCTCAGACATGGACAAAAGTCAAGGGAATATCACAAGCGCATTGTACCTATCACTTGGCAGATACACTCCCACAAATAATTTTGAAGCCTTCCTCTTTTGTAAATTTTGTAATCCAGTTACATTTCCCTAACCCCTGAAGAAAGAATTCTCTTGAGTTTGGTGGTTATCACATATATATATATATATATATATATATATATATATATATATATATACTTAAAATTTACTGCATAAAATGTATTAAGTGATGCATTTTAAACATTTATATAAATTATATCATACTGTGTATATTTCTGATAAATGTATTTTGCAGTTAATTTGTTGAACTTTATTATAGCAATATATCTAATACTTTGATTTATTTTCACTGCAGTATAGCATTATATTAGAAGACTATTTCCATATATATATATATATATATATATATATACTTATTCTTATGTATTTTCTCTACTTCCAGTTTGTCACCATCACAAGTCATCTTAGTATGGACATTTTTCTCCAACACTCCTTGTACAAAGGTATGAAAATTATTGGAGACCAGAGGTCATCAAATTTCTACTGAAAAAGGTCCAGCTAGTGAACATTTTAAGTTTTATACATCTTATGTCCAATGTCACAACTACTCAATTCTGTGATTCAAGTGTGAAAACAACCATAAACAATATGTAAGTGAATGAGCATGGCCATGTTCCAATGAAAGAATGTTCACAAAAATAAACAGCTGGCAAGATTTAGCCAAGGGCCATTTTAGGCTAATCACTGCCCTAGACTGAAGATACTAATGATATTTCTGGGATTTATGATATGCACAGTTAAAATAACAAGATATTGTCAAATTGAAATCCTAGATTGTATGTTCATGTATGTTCTCACAAGCAGTACAGGAGGTCTCTTGTTTCTCTGCAGTTTGGTCAGACAGACAATGTCATCTCAGTTATCCCAGTTAGCATAAAATGGTTCAAATGCTCTGACTGTGTGGACTTATCTGTTAATTCATGGAATCTACAGTATTTTCTGGTGTTCATTATTAATACTATTATTGACTCTATTATAAATCTATTGCATTCTATTTAATATAATTTAATTCTATTTTACAACTTCTGCTATAAATTCTCTTTTATGAGTTCATTTAATTTGTTATTTTGCCTTTAGGTTGTCTGTTCTTACTCAACTAGCTCATTGTATATGGTGTATATTCATAATGAAGTATTATTGAGACATAAGGAAAAAGGAAATATGTTGTAGTTTGAACATGGATAAAATGAGATGATCATATCATATAAGATAATTAATGTTCAAAAAGACCAGTATGCATTTTTGCTTACATGAGAAATCTATTTATTTATAGTAAGAACATGAATTTAAAAGCTGTACTATTTAAAGAGGAACCATTAAGAAAGGAGAAATAAAAGAGTAAGTGAAGATTAATGAAAGAGGAAATGATAAGGTAAGTGTGGTAAACACAGCATAATAAAAACCACTAGTAACTATTTTCAAATAAGAAGGCAAAAGAGCTTTAAAAAATAGCAGAGGACGGGAGTTTGATCAAAGTTCAATATATGTTCTAATGGAGACAAAAAAATCAACACAAAGTTAAACCAAAAAACTGTAAGATTTAAAAAAAAACTCATTATAGGAAAAGTTTATCCAACTTCTTCCTTTTATAGATGTCCTAGATAATTTTAGTAAAATTCTTTGTTTCAAAATTTATTAGGGGCAGAAACCACACAAGAATGCATTGTTTATACAGTTACTAAAATTCCCCATTTATATAGCAAACTCCTTTATTGTTATTTCCATAATTTTCCCTGCAAACAAAAAAGTCACTATGTTTTGCACAGACTATTATATAAACATGCTTTCAAAGGTGCATTAACTTGGTGAAGAGAGCATGTTCTTTGGTACATTAATTATAATGCTTGTAGCCAGTTTCTGAAGAATTACTCACTCACTGAATTACAGCTAAAATCCACGACTAATCTTGGAGTGATTCTTGTTTACTTTGAGTTACTAAGTGTATTTAAAGATACTAAATTTATTTCATTATACACATTTTGCTAATAACAGCTAGTGTCTCCTAAGTTCCAATCAGTGTTTTTCACCTATAATGAAGAAAAACGCCGTTTATGAACCAGGTATGGAGCAATTAAATAAACAATACCGTTGGAATATATAAAAATAGTTCAGCTCAAAGACTGGTTGATACAAAAGGGGAGGTACAAAACAAATTTAACACAGTATGACTGTTGCCAAAAGTTGAAAAAGAATGTGACCCTTCAGAAAGAGTAACAGAGTGACAATAAAACCTACTAGTGCAAGATCATAAAGCTCTGTTAAGCAAAGATGCTCAAACAGGAACTGAAGACCACCACAGCGATGGCAAGCACTCATGAAATATGTAGGGTTTTCTTCTATAGCTAGTTCCCAGGCAAAGTTTACTAAATATGCACATGAAAGACTCTGAATCTAATAGACTATCTGGTACAGATTACCTAATATCTAATGAATACTAGTTATAGTATGCAGATAGGAACTCATTTTAATACAAATGATGTCATTAAATTTCATAGCAACAGCACACAATGGACAAGGAGAGGGGGGACTTCAGAAGCAGTACTCATTTGTTCTAAAGATAGATTTCTAGCTCAACTCCTTTGCTTCTGAACATCATGTTCTTTCAATTACACCATACATGAAAAAAATTCTGAAGGCAGGTCATCAAAACAACATTGTCCTACTACATGGTTGAGTATTAGCCTTCAGCCAAAAAACTCAAGGACAGCACCCAGGCCTTGAATCAGTTCAAGCCCCAGGACTGGCATAAAAAGAAATAACAC